TTTTTTCTGGTTTTAAGCATAAACTCACTTACGTTTGTTATATGTTTTCAGAAAATAAGTCATGATATCTAAGTAAATGTATCTTAATTTAAGAGTGTTTAAATATTTGTACTGGAACTCAAGACTCTCTCTCTGTATATATATACATATACATATATAATTTTTTGCAGTGAACCCATGAAACACTGGCAGTCATTGGACATTTGAATGTGATCTGTATCTTAAAGGAACAGTTCACCCCAAAATAAAAGTGCTGTCATCATTTACTCACCCTTATGTCGTTTCAAACCTGTTTGACTTGCGTGAAACCTAAAAAGATATTTTTTAAGTATTTTTTGTCTATACAATTGAAGTTAGAGGGGTTTACAAACAACATTGGACTCCATTGGCTTTCATTGTATGGACAAAATTACCAGACAGAAATACTAGAGATAATATCAAAATATCTCCTTTTGCAATCCACAAAATAAAAAAGTCATACAGGCATGAAACAACATGAAGAATGATTGGGATTTTTGGGTACACTATCCTTTTAAGGTATGTACATAAAGAAATATTTAAAAATGCATTTTTTTTTTTTTACATTTGTTATTTTGGGGTCAAATTATTCCTTAAAAATGAAACTCTAATTCCAACCCAAGCTGGTAGCTTTCAAGGTATGGGAATTAAATCATGTTTAAGCATTCATCAGATCATCCAAAACTGGCAATCAAAATGTAGCTCCCAAAAAAATTTAGCAGTTTAACCATTAATGGATGGGAAACAAAGAAACAATTTGGCAGGTGTGTAATTGCCAAATGATCGAATTCATCAAAATATATTGTCCAATCACAGCTCAGAGCAGCTTTGTCTTCTCTTTCCCAGTGGTCAGAAAGGAAAGAGCGTCCCCCTCATGATCATAACTTTCACTAAGTGCCAATGAGAAGAACAAGAGGGAAAAAATATAATTGCACTAACTTGTACTGCACAAAACGTATATTTTTATATACCGTTTTTTTACGCAGAAATTGAAGTTTTTAAAAAGCAAGTGCTGAATGGTTGTCTGGCGACCGACCGCCGTGGTTCTCTCATCGGGTCAGGGATGGGGTCTTTTTTATTTTTTACTGACCCTGCTACTATAAGCTTACGTGGCGGTACTTTGCGGCGGCTGGTTGGCAGCATGTGACGTCTGTCATGTGACTGCAGGTGACTTATCATTCAGGCTTGATTTAAAATAAAGATCGTTTCCTATGTTCAACATTGCGTTTTTCTTCATAGGAAAAGAGTCATGGGAAGATTGGGATTTTAGGCGTCAAAAATCAGGCAGTGATGCTTTAAATACGTTCATCAATTTTCATGGCTTTGATATGATATAAAATCCATACGAGAATGCCTTTTTGTTGTTAAATGTCACTGTAGTGAATATAACGTGTATATATTCATTGTATATTTTGGGCTTTTTTTGGGAAACGGGGGAAAAGAAGCATCAACGCATGTAAAATCTACTAAATGAAACGTTCGTTTTATCGGCTGTCTCACACAAGTTTCTTTTACTTTCATATCAAGTAGTTAGAACCACTCAGTGTTTTTTCTTTAGTTTTCATGTTCAGTTGGAGCTTGCATTGATGCGTTTTCATTGTTTTGTGGAAAAGCGAGCGTGTACATCATGAAGTATGTACTATTGTGAGGCAGGAGGGACGTTACTATGTGGATCATTGCGTCATTCTGCCCTGCACATTCCGATAGATGATTTGACGTTAGTTCGTCTGAGCCTTTGTCTATCTGTTCCCCGTTAATCTAACTTCACTGACTGCCTGTTGCTTTTCAGCCAGGATATTAAGCTAAACACCCAAGAAAATGTGTAGAGACTCCACTTTCTTTAACATTTTCAGAATGTTTCAGCATCATCATAATAATCCTACTATTCAATACAGCTCATACGATTTCTCTTTTCAGAACAACTCTTTTGGCCTTGTTTAAACTGTTGAGTGTCAAGCCATTTCTTCTTTTTTCATTGGTTGAAATTTGATGCATGTCTTGTATCATCTTTGTACTTTCTTGCTTTATTGGAACCATTATAGTTTTTCAGAAGTTGACAGTGACGTGTCCAGAGTTGAGTGAATGAACGAGAGGATGGAGGTGTTTCTGGTGTTGACTTTTGGTTGGTTGGTTGGTTGATGAGAGTGCGATTTCTGTGGCTGTAATGTGGAGATTGAAATAAACATGGATTTCAGAAATAAACATGGATTTCAGAAAGATGTTTGATTGGAATTCGATTTTTACTTTATTTGCGCAGGTTTATGTTTTTATGTGTGTTAGTGCATGTCTAGAAAATAATCTCCAGTAGATGGTCCTTGAACATCTTTTTACATTTCATTGAAATTACATAATATTTCCACAGTAAATATACACTACCACTCAAAAGTTTGGGGTTTGGGCTGCATTTATTTAATTAAAAATAACAACTACTTTCTGATTGTGTCTGGTCATGGAAGTTGGCTACCAGTGTAGTTTAATAAAACCATTACCAGTTAAAGTAACCAAAAAAAAATATATATATCTATTTTATAAAACATCAATGATTACTTCTCACACACTTCAACAGATTAACCCTGGAATGAGGTATGAAGCAGGTCAGTCATAAGTGCTCCCCATTGATTACTGCATCTGTAGGAGATATTTAACACACTAAACCTTTGATAAAACAGATGCCAGGTAGAAAATCAATCAGGGGGATGATGAATTCCCCTGACGTCAGCCGTATGGTCCAGTAGGTGGTACTGTAGTTCACACCAGCAGTGGGTTGTCCAGTACTGCTACTCCTGCAGCCACTCCCCCATCAGCATGCTCTGAGCTCTTGGTCCTCAGCAGGTGGCCCACGCACTCATTAAACACCATGTCTTTGCCTTTCCTGTGTGTGGAAAAATTAGCAGTTATATTCTGTAATGCAGTGAATTTTAGGTATGCTTGTACAATAAAAGCAGAGGTTTTGTTAAAAGATCTGCTAGAAATGATCGCACCTGACATATGCTCCAAACACGCCCAGTTCACTCAGACAAGAGTTCAGTCTCAGAGGACCTCCGGACCGGAGCAGGTAGTTCTGGACCGGAACGGGCTGGATCTTGTCCATCAGGATGTAAGCCGTCCTCTCAGTGGAGTTCTTCAAGTTCTCCAGCACTTCACAGATCTCACTGCCGTAAATGTTGTTACCTGGTAACAATACAGTAGGAAATCTTTGAGCAAGTGTTTGTGATTTGTATGTGTGTACACAACACAGGACATGACTAGTGATACTCACCACCTCCCTCCCTCTGAGGCTTCAGCACATACCGGTCTGGATTGGCCAAAGCCATTGCTACGGTTTTATCACCTTCTTCTCCCTGTGGAAAGACAGGTTGACTATTTAAAAAAATATATATTATATATTGTAGTTTCAACAGTGGTGCTCAATCCTGCTTATGATGTTCAGTCTTTCTGAGGTTTAGTGCTCTACCAAGATTATCACACTATAACTAAAATTATTTTTTTATTTTATTTTAAATGAAAATATTTTTTTTTTCACAAACTGAAATAAATAAAAATGAAAATAGAATTAGGAAATAATTCTAATACAATAATAATTAGCAGAATACATCGTTTTCATGTGCTCTCTGCTATTATTTGGCCGACAATCAGCCAAAAAAAGAGGTAACAAGCAGCTTGACAATGGTTTCATGTGGATTGTTCATATTTCAATCATGAAAACTCGGAATAGTTTTAGAATGACAATGTTATACTATAATGTATTTGGTCTTGGCAGACGAGCTACTTGGCATACTCTGCTGAAGACATAGGATGTCGGCGTAGCGTAAACTCCGGTGAGAAGTGACGAACGCAGAAGCGTAAAGGAGAGAACTAAACAAAATACTGGTCATGAATTCTAAGTACAAAACGAGGATTTGTAAAAAAAAAAAATATATATATATATATATATATATATATACTCTATATATATATATATATGTGTTGGGGATTGAGATATAAGCCAAGAGGAGAAGCAAGGTTCTTGGTTCTCGTGAGACTAGCATATTCTCATCGCCACGCCTATATCATCCACTGAAACGCCACTCTCTTGTGAACGTGTGTACGACAGTTAGCGGAAGCTAGAGAATACGGTTTATAAAGTTTTAAATATGGCTATTTTTCTTACACAAATGCATTGATTCACTTCAGAAGGCTTTTAATAACCCCCCCCAGAGCTGTGTGGAGCACTTTTTATGATGGATGGATGCACTTTTTTGGGCTTCAAAATCTCAACAGCCATTCACTGCCATTATAAACCTTGGAAGAGCCAGAAGTTCAGAACATATTTTAATATAACTCTGATGGCATTTGTCTGAAAGAAGAAAGTCATATACACCTAGGATAGCTTGACGGTAGTGCTGTCAAACGATTAATCGCATCCAAAATAAATGTTTTTGTTTACATAATGTATGTGTGTGTTCTGTGTATATTTATTATGTATATATAAATACACACACATCCAGCATATATTTTGAAAATATTTACATGTATTTTCATGTCTATATTTATACTCATATAATTTGTATCATATATAAATATATTTAATATATAAATGTAACATTTTTCTTAAATATATACATGCATGTGTGTATTTATATATACATAATAAATATACACAGTACGCACACATATATTATGTAAACAAAAACGTATTTTGGATGCGATTAATCGTTTGACAGCACTACTTGACGGTGAGTAAATAATGGGGTAAACAAAAAAAATGGGGTTATTTTTTTGGGGTAAACTATCCCTTTAAGGGAAAGTCACACTACACTTTCCATTCCATTGACTTCCAAGTGACTGTAGAAATTTTGCATGCTTAAAGTCTAGTGTGATTATGATGATTATGATGGTGATTCCTGTGTAACCCTTGAGTTTGTTTCAAGTGCTTCATTAGAGTTAATCGTAAGGTATAATCCTAAATCTAATCGTAGGGTATATCCCCTCAAGCAGGATTCAGCACCCCAGTTAACAATGTTGTTCCTCTACCATGTCCAGGGTGTACAGCCCAGCGAAAGTGGCCCGAATCTGAGCAACTGTTTCAGGTTCGTCAGGGAAGAAGCACTCCAGAACCCCCCGCCGGGCCAATTCCTGCTGCACCTTCTTAGTACCGGCGAGATGGGTGCTGATGTCTGGACACTTCACAGCCAGAGAGCGCTCCATCATCAGACGGGCCTCCCAGCTCTGAAACATGCATCAGGTTATGACTTTCATTCCCAGCAAACACCGAAAACTGATCATTTCTGAGAAGACTATGGGAAAGATGTGTCCTCACCTTCTCTGAAGTGTAGTTTTGGGGCATGTATCCGTTACGGAAGTAGACAATGGCGACCTCACGACCATCTCTGCAGGTTGAATAGAAAAATAATGCCTTTATGTACATTTTAAATGCAGGTAATGACTGAACATTGCTGTCATTTCCTAGTATTTCACAATGCTAATATTAGTGTGTTACACGGATGGGAAATGTGTAAATCATAAACACTCACACAAAGAGCCTCTTGCTCTCATCCAGGGATCCAGTTCGGCAAACATCTTCAAACTGTCTTCTTATTACAGGAATATTTCTGCACATGTAAAAGAACAGATTATCACAAGTCCCCATAAGTGGTTACACTTTATTTTAAGGTGTCCTTGTTACAGTGTAATTATACTGAGAAATATTCATTAACTACATGTACTTACTATATAGTTAGGGTTACTTGCATGTTATTATGCATAATGTATTGTTATTATAATAGTAAGTTCATGTAACGTGTAACAAGGACACCTTAAAAACACGTGTTACCCCATAAGCTCTTGTTTGGAAGAAATAGTAACAGAGATGCTTTTGCTTCACAAACACCACTAATAAAGATGTGTTAGTAATAACAGAATGACATACATGTTGCTCATGACTTGTACTTACTAACGTAATAACAGTCATGTAGTTACATAGTAACTAATGTAAAATAACTTGACACTGAATCCTGATTATAGCTAAACTATCAGACTACTTACTGTACCTTTTCCACAGCTCATTCTCAACATATCGATGGTCATAAATATTCCTCTGAACGTCCTCGACCAGAAACATAACCACTGCCCTGCAAGGGACAACATGACGAAATGACCACTTTATCATTTCAATTACTAAGTAAACACTTAAAAGCATCAAGTGCCTACAACACTAACTTTCACAATTCAATTTGATACAACTTATCAACATTAAGTACAAAACAGTTCCGAAGTCTCTGAGAATTCAGCTTTGCCAAAACAGTAGCAAAGCCATTTTAAAACACACCTCTCAGATCCATAGAGCTCCCAGGCTTTGGCCAAACCTCTGGCCAGACCTGCTGCTGGGTTGTTGTCGAGCACATTATTACACTCCTCTGGCAGGTTTGCGACCTTCAGAATGTGCCTTGCAGAAATGAGAAACCTTAACCTTTATATACTAAACACCATCCAGTACTTCAGTGACGAACCAGTGCTGTTTGGAGCTTTAAATTTAGCATTTAGCTCAGACTTACCGATGGACATCCGGTGTCCGTGAAGCAAGACCACCAAAACTTGCAGCAATAGTGTTGATTTCAATCTGCTTCAAAGACGTCCCACCGTCTGGACTGTGGTCCAACATGTAGTCTGAACGATTCAAGCCCAGCACTATTGACTTGGGGAAGATATGAACTATAGTTTAAGCAAATGTGTCTTAATAACCTACACAATAGCATTAATATTACATTTATAAGTAGTCAGCTGTACTTCATGGAAGAGGAGACGCACTGTTGATACTGTACATGTCACTACCGTTATCCGTTTAGGATTCTTTAAAAAAAAATGTTTGAAATTAGTATCTTGTATATTATTAAAAATGTGTAATACAGTTTAAAATATGTTTTTAATGTCATTTATTCCTGATGGTAAAGCTGAATTTTCAGCATCAGTACTCCAGTCTTCAGTGTTACATGATTCTTCAGAAATCAGTCTAATATGCCGATTTGCTGCTCAAGAGACATTTGTTATTATCAATGTTGAAAACAGTTGTGCTGCTTAATATATTTGTGGAAACTGGCATTTCTTCAGGATTCTTTGATGAATAGAAGGTTCAAAAGAACAGCTTTTATTAGAAATTGCAATCTTTTGTAACATTATAAATGTCTTTACTGTCACTTTTGATCAATTTAATTCTTCCTTGCTGAAAAACAGTATTCATTTCTTTCAAAATCTTTTGAACGATAAGTGTATAATAGAACACGAACAGTGAAGTAAATGCTCCTAACTAATGTGTAACATGCCATTTTGAATTAATAAACAAACTACTGGTAAATCATTATACCTGGGGATGATGTTCGTGCTGAACTTGTTTGTATATGTTGAAAAGTCTTGCTGTAAAATTGTCAACTTTGATGGTGCTGATGAAAAAGAAAAAAAAAACATTTATTTAGACAAGATCACACCAAAATTATTAATAAGTTTGAATTAAAGGTGTCATTTTGATGCCTCTAGTGCCACTAAATGGAATGGCAAAAATACTGATAGAATAAAAGATTCCCAAACAACCTCCCATTGGTTGGACAGACAGATAGTCCCAAATGTTTTGGCTCTGCATATTAAGCTGGTAGAAAAGACCATATTTGAATATAAAAAATTACACATTTCACCATTAAAATGTACAAAATAAGGCAATAAGACACTCAATGAAGTTAACTTGCAATTCATTAGGGTAGGGGATTCCCAAATATTTTTGTCCCTAGTTTGGGAAACCCTGCAATAGTGCAATCTTTTCATACCTGGCCAGAGTTTCCTCTAGGAAGCCAGGATTCTGGCTGACCCGGTCCACCAGCCGGTTAAAATGTGTCTGTACTGCCAGAGCCTGATGAAAGAGTGCTGAGGGCACCGGTGTGGGAAACAACGTGAACGGTGCATAACTCACCACCTGTGAACAAATGGACAGTTATTCGACATGCATGTACACGATCAAAACCCTTCAGTCACTGCTGATTCTTTGAGCCACGGGTTTCTGCCCAGTGTTGACTCAACGGGGCAGAACTAACTCTCCATAATCCAGAAACAAAACATGGCCATAGGACAGACAGAATTCCAGACGTGACTGTGAATTAACTGCACCTCTGAGACTAGATGTTGGTTAGTATTTCTATCACCATATTGGGTCCCACTTTATATTAAGTGTCCCCAATACCTGTGTACTTAAATAGTAACTAGATGTGTACATAGTATGTAACCACAGTGTAAGTACACATTGGTACATAGTATCTACAGCTGTAATGTTTGTGCAACTACACATATGTAACAACCCACTGAATGGCATGTGTAAATACAAACGTGTAACAGGATATTGGTAACAACACTTTTTGGTAATGAAAGTACAAATGTGTAACAGGACTAAAAGCACTTTTTTGGTAAAGAAAGTGTTACACTTTATATTAAGTAAACAATTCCTATGGATTTACCATGTAATTACTCTGATGTTAAACAGCAGTACCAGTAAGTTAGGCTTTACATATACATTGTGGTTGGTGTCCAGAATGTTACATTTTATATTAAGTGGACAGTTCCTGAGGAGTTACCATGTAAGTACACTGGTATTACAGTGGTGCACCAACTCCACCAACTCAAGATCCAACTCCTCCCACTTTACATATCCCTAAACCTGCTCATCTCCACCCTCTGGATCCAATTTCCACCCCTAAATCTACCCATCCCCACCCCCTGGATCCCATTTCCACCCCTAAACCTACCCATCCCCACCCCCTGGATCCCATTTCCACCCCTAAACCTACCCATCCCCACCCCCTGGATCCCATTTCCACCCCTAAACCTACCCAGCTCCACCCCCTGGATCAAATTGTTCCAATTACTCTTATACATAGTTGTTACAAAATGTAGTTATATATGTCCTGTTACACATTTGTACTTACACAAACCATTCAGAGGGTTGTTACATGTGTGTAGTTACAGAAATATTACAGCTCTAGATGTACCAATGTGTACTTACATGTGGTTAATTAATGGATATCTAAGAGTCTTGGCTAGATGTCTTAAATCTGGGTTAGGTCTACAGTGCCACCAGGGGCTCTATATCTATACATTATCAATATAATCCAGGAATGAAAAGGGGTTCCCCAAGACAACCTTTCCTGCCGCAAAAGCAAAAAAAAAAGAAGCTCTTGGTGGGTTTTGTGGTTTAGATCAGCAGTGCTTGTTAATGTCTAAAAGACATTCTTCCAGGCACACAATACAGCGACGTGCTCTTACTTCAGGAGAGTTTGGCGTCTCTTTGGTCCTCATCAACACCCCATGTAAAAGTGCTGTGTCTTTTGCTACCTCCTCTATGTTTTTGATCAGATTTTCATCCTTCAGGACGTCCTCCCGTTTGACAGGCATGGCAGAACACCTACAATGAGAAGGACACACACTGTTGTCATATGCTTCATGCCATTTTTCACTTTTCATGTGACAGCCTGACAGTTACAAGACATATGGATTTTCAGGGACATGCTAATTTTCTGATACATGATTCTGCTTTACTGCAGACTTGATCATTAAACGATTACTGTACATGATAACATCAAGTTTATATTACTAAACTTCTGCATTAAAAAAAAAGCACATACGCATGTCATTGCTCGGACTTTGTACTGGCGAGAAAAGGGAAGTGACTTAAATACGACTTAAAGCAGGATCACCGATGAACGAGGCTGTACACAACAGCACCCTGGAGTGCTGTAAACATCAGACACTCATCGTGACACTGCACAAACACACTGGAGAACACGACAAACAGCACGCGAGCGCATGTAGCGGAGCTAGGACTACCGTTACCTACCTGATGTGCGCGGGCGAGGTCCCGGGTCACCGTGAGTCTGTTTGATACTCGAGAGCTCGGTTCACCTGCTCAGGTGAGGTCGGACTGAAGCAGCTCTAGGCGTGCTGCTGACTGAAGTGTGCTGCTGCTGCTCGTATCAACGGCTCATACGCTGACAACCAATCAGCGAACAGAACGCTGTCCACGAGGATCCCGACGGAGTCTGAGTTCCGTTTGCTCGTGTTTAGCTGCGGTCTTCTTCTTCTTCTTCTTCTTGTTCAATGGCCGTTCACTCATTAGCAGTATTACCGCCACCTACTGTATGTTTGGCTGCAGTTCAGATATTCATGTATACTGATATATTATTTGACTTTTAGAGACCGCGGAGAGACAACATGAGCACGAATCAGAGTATTGCAGACAGTAACAAAGTAGACTAACTAGATGAGTACAATTTGTAAACAAACTTTGATATAGACAGATAGATAGATATAATTTTGTTAATAAAATAATCAGATTAATAAAGAATATGTTGTGTCTTGTAGGTTGTTCTTCTTTATGATTGACAAAGCACATACGCATGTCATTGCTCGGACTTTGTACTGGCGAGAAAAGGGAAGTGACTTAAATACGACTTAAAGCAGGATCACCGATGAACGAGGCTGTACACAACAGCACCCTGGAGTGCTGTAAACATCAGACACTCATCGTGACACTGCACAAACACACTGGAGAACACGACAAACAGCACGCGAGCGCATGTAGCGGAGCTAGGACTACCGTTACCTACCTGATGTGCGCGGGCGAGGTCCCGGGTCACCGTGAGTCTGTTTGATACTCGAGAGCTCGGTTCACCTGCTCAGGTGAGGTCGGACTGAAGCAGCTCTAGGCGTGCTGCTGACTGAAGTGTGCTGCTGCTGCTCGTATCAACGGCTCATACGCTGACAACCAATCAGCGAACAGAACGCTGTCCACGAGGATCCCGACGGAGTCTGAGTTCCGTTTGCTCGTGTTTAGCTGCGGTCTTCTTCTTCTTCTTCTTCTTGTTCAATGGCCGTTCACTCATTAGCAGTATTACCGCCACCTACTGTATGTTTGGCTGCAGTTCAGATATTCATGTATACTGATATATTATTTGACTTTTAGAGACCGCGGAGAGACAACATGAGCACGAATCAGAGTATTGCAGACAGTAACAAAGTAGACTAACTAGATGAGTACAATTTGTAAACAAACTTTGATATAGACAGATAGATAGATATAATTTTGTTAATAAAATAATCAGATTAATAAAGAATATGTTGTGTCTTGTAGGTTGTTCTTCTTTATGATTGACAAATCTAAGCAAAACATATCCCAAGTAAGAAAGGAAAAGCCTTTCACAAATGGCAATGCGAAACGAATGCATTATGAAATGAATTATTCGAAACGATAATTATTACATATTTATTTGGAAAAGAAGCCATCGTTTCCGGCGTGACAGTTATTAACGGTCAAAGAGTGAGCTAAGATGTAGCTAAATATTTTGCATTTAACAACTGTTTTACGATAGAAATGTAGAAGAAACAACAGTAATATCCTGTTATGCAAATATGGACCCCCCCATATATATATATATATATATATACACACACCTTGCTACGTGTACTGCGTTAGGCTAACCGAGACTTGTCATTTGCACAACATATATTGTTGCTCTTGTGTTAGTTTTGACTGCTTTTATTGTCCTCGCTTGTAAGTCGCTTTGGATAAAAGCATCTGCTATATGACTAAATGTAAGACTGTCCTCCAGGTGGCGATATCGGCTGGCGTTGACACGCGTGTTGGCACAGAAGAAGAGGTATTCTCGCGAGACTTCAATCTTCGCGATTTAATGTTTTCAATATGGCTGCCTCCTCGAGTAGGGCTGCCACTGTTAAACCGAGTGATCATTCTTCACCATCTGAAGAAACAGGGGAGGAATCGGAGTTTTGTCCGGGGTTTAAGGATGTCGATGCATTTGTCAAGGTCGGTGGATCGTTTTGATGTGTGAATTTCGTTGTCAGCGCTGTAACTAACTGTGACACGCAGCAGTCATGTGTGCTCTCGCAGTGCGGTTTGAGATGTAGCTGAATAGCTGTGCGCTGGTGTGTGTTTGACAGCACGGGCTGGGAGCGGTGGTCGCGGCCACCAAAGCGTCTGCAGCTCTTCCAGCAGCCGGGGATGAGTTTGATCTGTACCGCAGCTTCCCTGCCTTCCAGCAGTTCTGCGCCTCACAGGGAGACCAGCTCTTACACGGGTACAACACCATCTCACGCACTGCACCATGACACACTCATATGGGTGCTTTAATGGCTAACTCTTGTGATATATATCACAAAGTAGATTTACAATTTGACATTTTATACATGGGTTCATGGAACATATTCAGAAAAATGTATATGTTCAGGGTTTCTGCTTATTATAATTTTTCTGGTCTTAATTTGCGCTTCCACAAATAAAATCAGAGCAGAAAGTCTTAAGGTCATGGCATTGAATGTTGTATATAATGCCTAAAAATGTATGTCTTCCTCAGTTTTCCCCGAATACAAATATGTAAACGTCCTTAAATCAAGGTGCATTTTCTTACTTGAGTTGAAAAATGAAGATGAAGCACGTTTTCTTTCTGAGAAATTGAACCAAATTATGTTTAAAATCAAACACATATCTGTCAGTGGGGTATGAAAAGTTGTTTTCCCTTTAAAGTTGATTTTTCTAAGCTCATTGGCTTGAAGTTACAGTAACAGTTATTTTCTATATTCTAGAGGTTGGGAGCAGTATCTATCTATCTGAATGAAAAAGTGAAGGAGATGGGTTGGAAGTTGCATTTTCAAACTTTTGAAGTGTTGCTAATACAACACATTGTGTTCATTAGATTTTTTTTTTACTTGGTCCTAAAAAGGTTTAAAGCTATTAAACCGAAAACCCGGGTTGTTAAAGAGTTTTATAGGAATTTGGAATCTGCAGCCAGTCCTAACTGAGATGTTCTTATAGGATTCAAACATAACACATGCCTACATTTGAGATGCTAGCTCACAATAGGTCCAGTATAATTTATAATATAAGATAATTATACACTGTATATTAATGAAAAGATAATAAAGGAAATGCTTATCTGGGATATAAGAATCTATTCAATCTATAAGAACACAATATACATCTACACAATAGCTAATTGGCCAGTAGCAAGAAAGTATTCCAATTATATCATACTGGATTTTCTTTTATAGGACTATAAACAGAAATAAAAGTCAGTCCTACAAAGTTCTGCAAGAAAAACATAACTTCAGTTTGGCCTCTTAGACATTGCATGTATGAAACATGAATAAATGCTTCCTTATTATTATTATAGTATTAGGGTTCGTTATGTTGTAACTGGAGACTTATTGTTCTAATATCTGTGTATTTCTCTGACAGTATGAGCCAGATAATGCAGCATCATGGCTGTCGGTCTCACATGAGAGACAGGAACAGACTGACGGGGCTGGAGGACAGGTTTGACCTGGTGGTGGACTCAAACGATGCCATCCTTGAGAAAGTGGTACGAGGCTTACACTGTGACACCACTGAGATTCAAGCTTAGGTCTTCTGCTTTGTCTGTATTTGTCTGTCCATCAAGCCCATTCACACCAAGAATGATAATGGTAACGATCAAGTTTTAATAATTGTTTTAGTTCTATGAGAACAGTAAAGCCCACACTGATGAATGATTAAAACATTCACAGCCATTCAGAGTCCACCTGGCTTTAAAAAAAACTTGAGCATTTAAAGCAGCAGGCAATATAAAATAGGGCTGTGCGATATGACGATATATATCGGATGGACGAAATTAAAAGTCTATCGTTTCATATTATGCTCTATTGTTTATTTCGTGGTGCCGCAAAATACATTGTTTACGGCAATACTTTTTCATTGAATGACGGCAGTCTTACATGCATTACACGGGGATGCAGGCAGAAACGTGAATAACAGCATGCGCGCTCACGTCACGTTGCTGTGAGTAACGGAAACTTCATGTTTGCACATTTTTAAGCACTGCAGTTTAAAACGACTGATTTTAGGCTGTTGAAACACAAACAACAGAGCTATATGTGCGCGCTGTCTCTGTTTCTGTGTGAGAGGAGTGCGTAAGCCGCGCATCAACTGTTAATAGAGCTCATGAGCATTTTTGCCGCTTTGAACGATTGTATAAACACTTATATGCATCCAATTGCTTTGCAAGTAGCCTCATAAACACAGTCATTTAGGTCTTAAGGGAACGTAAACAGTTGAGAGAGAAAGCGCATGTGTAACAGTATATTGGATCCGGACTTCGGTATTAAACGGTAAGCTGTCCAATATTCGTTCTGTCTGCCATTCATGTTAATCAAACAAACTGCTCTTGACTAAATCACTTTTGTAACTAGAATAAGAAGAAAAGAAATAAATAATGATAATGCAATAATTATGCCTATACTGTATATACACTGAACAAAATTATAAACGCAACACTTTTGTTTTTGCCCCCATTTGTCATGAGTTGAACTCAAAGATCTAAGACTTTTTCTATGTACACAAAAGGCCTATTTCTCTCAAATATTGTTCACAAATCTGTCTAAATCTGTTAGTGAGCACTTCTCCTTTGTCGAGATAATTCATCCACCTCACAGGTGTGGCATATCAAGATGCTGATTAGACAGCATGATTATTGCACAGGTGTGCCTTAGGCTGGCCACAATAAAAGGCCACTCTAAAATGTGCAGTTTTATCACACAGCACAATGCCACAGATGTCGCAAGTTTTGAGGGAGCGTGCAATTGGCATGCTGACTGCAGGAATGTCCACCAGAGCTGTTGCCCGTGAATTGAATGGAGACGGCTTATGGTAGAGAAATGAACAAAGGCATTTCGGAGAATTTGGCAGTACATCCAACCAGCCTCACAACCGCAGACCAC